TTAATAGTCATCAGGCCTAAGTGGCTTTTTTATTTTATTTTTTGGTCTTTTTGAGGCAAGTTTTTTCTGTGCAACTCAGGCTGACTTCAGCTCACTTTGTAGCCCAGACTGGCCTGGAATTCACAGTGATCCTCCTACCTTAGCCTCCCAGGTGCTGGGATTATGGCTTTTAGAAGTACACATATTATACATGTACTTCAATCCTTAAAGTTATATATTGATATGTAGTCAGAAAGAGTTGGCAGGATCAGTATAACTTTTTAAAAATTCTCCTTTTTTTAAGTACAGGGTCTACAGGATCTCACTACGTAGATCGACTAGTAGTGATTCTCCTGTTTTCAGCCTCCCAAGTGCTGGGATCACAGGCATGCGCCACCACACCCAGTCTCTATCGCCCTCTCAGTGTGCTCTGGAGGCAGGACCGGCATGGCACACCAGGGATCAAACCCCAGCCGCTGTGCTCTGCCTAAGCAGGTGCTTTAGTCCGCTGGGCTATCTGGCCAGCCCTAAAAGTTGTCTTTAAAAATAGGGAATATAAAGTTAAATCTTGCTTTTTATTTTCACAAAATCACCAGGGTAGAGCCTCAAAGTAAAAACCATTTTGACTTAGATTTACTGACTGGTTTTAACTATTTCTTTAAACCATTGCAGTTTAAACTGCCAATAGAAATGATGAGCCTAGTTCAAAATAAAATGAGTCAACAACAACAAAATAAATAATACATGCAAAATGCTTGGAACTTCTATGCAAATGGTCTAGTAAGTTTGGGGAGCTTTTGATTTTTAAGTATCTGCATCTCTAATACAGTTTCTTTAATACTATATTTAAGAATCAGAACCATATTTGTTTTATATATTTTCTTCTTTCAGATCAGCAGCTTTCCACATACCTTCCCATCTCACAAATTCAAAAACTTAGAAAGAACCATTCCTTGAAGAGTCAGGATCCCAAATGTTTCTTTTCTTTTTCTTTTGCTCCTATTTTCTCTCTTCAACTTTTCACCTACCTCTTGCTAGCATTTTTGAAGAAATATAATCTGAAAATACTATAGACAATTGTGTTACAATAATACAGCTAATCTTACAAGCTTTTTAAAATTATTTTTGTAGTTGAATATTTGTTTTAGTATCTACTAAAGTAAATCATTTAACCTCTAGGTGCTAGCTTGTTTTGGAATCCAGCTTGTGATGATCAAAAGCCTGATTCTCAGCTGAAACAAGATGATACCAAGATTTCCAGTGAGGACATGAATTTTTCTGTTGATATCAGTAATGAAGTCACAAGTCCTCCAGATAGTGCATCATCATTAAAAGCAGTTGATATTCCCAGTTTTGAAGATAGCAATGTTGCTGTGGAAGAAGAATTTAATCAGCCATTTTCTGAATCCAAGTAAGATATCTCTGATTGAGTATTTCATTCTATGGTTTTCCTTTTTACATTTCTTATTTCATTCCTAATTGACAAATCATAACATTTATGAAGCCTAAAACAATGTTTAGGTGTTTATATGTTTAGTATATAAGTGATTAGATCAGACTAATCCACAAATCCATTGCTTTATGTATTTATTATTTTTTTATGGGATGAAGAGATTTAAAATCTCTTTTGACCTTATTGTTGTAATAGGGCTTGAACCTAGCTTACACATGCTAAATAACCACTGAACCACTGAAAAATCTTTTTTTCTTTTTTGGTTTTTTTTTTTTTTTGACACAGGACATCTCAGTCTAGTTCGGGCTGGACTGGAACTCACTATGTAGTTCAGTTGGCCTTGAACTTGTGGTGATATGTTTAAACAGTTCTTTCTTGTGCTTGAAGTATTTCCTTATACATTTTTCTATTAAAAAATCAATATTCTGTATTCAGATCCTCAGCAAATTTGGATGTCAGTTCAACAAATAGTATTGAATATTTACTACCACAGAAATAGACCCTAGAGATTACACAATAGGTTAGACAAAGCTGCTAATTTAGTCACATAAGCACCAAAAATAAATATAGTGACAACTGTTCTGAGTAAAACAAACGGGTGGGTGACGAAGTGGAGTGTAGCTGGGATGACAGCTTGGGAATGAGGTGTGTAATATTAAGTAGCATGGTAAAGATAGCTATTTCTGTGGCACTTGAGGAGCCACTCATCAGCCAGCTACTCACTTGAGGAAGTGTTGTTGGTGTAGGGAATGGCAAGCTTAAGGCCTGAGGTGTAGGGCCAGCCAGATATCTCAGTGGACTAAAGTACCTGCTTAGGCAGAGCACAGGGGCTGAGGTTCGATCCCCAGGGTGCTGAGATGACATTGAGACTGGGTGTGGTGGTACATGCCTGTAATCCTAGTGATTGGGAGGCTGAAAACAGGAGAGTCTGATCTGTGTAGTGAGACCCTATAGACCCTGTCCTAAATACATTAAAAAAAAAAAAGACCTGAGGTTTGCATGAGCTTGACAGTGTCAGAAAGAAGAAAAGCTGGTATTGCTGGACATAGTGACTCAGAGGAAAAGTGAAGGAAATGAAGTCAGAGAAGGAGGCAGGGACAAATCGAGTAAGACTTAGGATTTGGAAAGGCGTTTTGGATTAATCCATGTTGATGAAAAAGATTTTAGATAGTGGTGTAATGTGATCGGATGTTCTTTTTTTTTTTTTTTTAATTTTATGTATTTGGTACAGGGTCACACTACACAGCTCAGACTCATAGTGATTCTCCTGTCTCAGCCTCCCTAGCACTGGGATTACAGGCATGCGCCTCTGCACCCGGGGCAGGGCCAGCACATGGTATACAGTACCAGGGATTGAGCCTCAGTCCTTGCACTTGCTAAAGCAGATGCTTATTCTGCTGCACTATCTCCATAGCCCCTGATGTTCACTGTTTGAATCCCCTTCTAGTTCTATAGAGCTAAGAGAGCCTGTAGGGAGACTAGTTAGTAGACTAAAAAGTAAGAGGAAGGTACCGTGGACCTTGGGTGGCTCTCAGGGCACGTTCAGACATAGGATATGTGTTGAAGATAAAAGAATTAAGTTTTAAACTCCTCAGATACCATATTAAACAGTAACAAGAGGTGAACTTACCCATGAAATGGCATTGGAGCAGGCAATAGATTGCTTTTTTAAATCAAGCTTTGTGATAATATTTGACATTTTAAATCATTGTGATTATGGGCTGACCTGATAGCTTAGCAGACCAAAACGCCTTCTTAGGCAGAGTGCAGTGGCCAGGATTCGATACCCCGCCTGTGGGGCCTGCTGAGGCAGCAGCTGAGACTGGGCATGGTGGCGTGCACCTGTAATCCCAGCACTTTGGAGGCTGAAAACAGGAGAATCACTATGAGTCAGATGTACGTAGTGAGAACCTGTAGGTCCTGTCCTAAATACAGAAAAGAAAAAAGAAATTGTGATTATAACTGGACATGGTGGCACACACCTGTAATTCAGCACCATGGGAGCTTGAAACAGGATTGTGAGTTCAAGCCTACCCTGGTCAGTTTAGCAAGACCCTATTTCAAAATAAAATAGAAAGCTGGGCATGTTGGCACATGCTATAATTCCCAGAACTCAGTAGTCTAAGACAGGAGGGTCACTGCTAGTTTGAGACCAGCCTGGGATACATAGTTAGTTCAAGGCCAGCCTGGACTAATAGTGAGACCTTGTCTCGGGTGGGGGTAGGGGGAGTGTGAAAGAATAAAAAGAGGGCTGGGGATGTAGCTCAGTGTAGGGGCCCTGGATTCAGTGACCAGTACCACAAGAAAGAAAATATTGTCCACCATAATGGTTAAAACAGTAAATATGCCTCTTTAGAAAACTATAGAGGGGCTGGGGAGATGGCTCAGTAGAATAAGCACTTGCAAGGGTCTGAGTTCAATCCCCGGTTCCGAAAAAAAAAAAAAAAAGAAAAAACTATAGAGACTTTGCCAGCTCGGCATGTGATGCCAGGGATTGAACCCAGGTCCTTGCACTTGCCAGGCAGATGTTTAGATTGCCGAGGTATCTCCCTGGCCCCCCACCTGTTAATTTCTTGATAAATGTTTGTTGACAAGAACAACAATTTAGGGTAAATCTCAAGGAAGGTCCACATTTTATTTGGAATAATTATAGAAAATAAAGATGGGTGCACTCAGCTGCTCTGCCGGCCAGGAGCGGACGGGGTAGGACAGCTCTGCGCTTGGGTCTCCAGCCCTGACACGCGGCACATAGAGACCACCCGGCCCCCATGGTCACCGCGCCCCACTGGGGGGCTGTGGTACCCAGGCTTGACTGAAATGCCAAGCAAAGATTTCTGGGAGGTATGCTGACATCATATGCCACAGGTCCTAAGTCCATGGATTCTGATGCTGTGCCCAGCCCTGATCCCCAGCTGTGGCACAACTGTGCTCTGTGTCCAGCAAGTGGCCCCTGTCACATGGGTGCTGGCAGCTCTCCAGGGATCCTCACCAGATGTCCTGCAGACCGAGACCAGGGGCTAAGTGTGAGTCAAGGACTTGATGCCAAGCTCCTGTGTTCAGGGACTGCTCTGTAAGTTCTTGGGAACGGCTGCAGTGACTACTGCAGAACCTGACTGCCCACCCTCAGCACAAACTCACCTCCTCTTGCTGTTGCCAGCCCTGTCCCTGTTGCCCTGGGCTCTGTCAGTCTGTCCTGAACATTTTCCTGGGGGCCTTGGTTCACGTATTCTCCATGTCTAAATCCCAACCTTTGCCCACCCTGCCACCCTTCTCAGGGACCTCTCCTCAGACCAGCATTTAGAATGAGCTGCTCCAGCTGCACTACCTAAAAGTGCACCTTACTGGAGATGGGCTCCGTGGTGCACACTGCTGTCCAATCTATGTAGGAAGGTGATCCAGGAGAATTGCAAATGTGAGCCCATCTCAGGCACTTTAGCAACTCAGGGAGACCTGATCTCAATAATAAAAAAATAGGCTGAACATGTAGCTCAGCACTAGAGCTCTGAGTTCAATCCCCCCAGTACTAGGGGAGGGGAAAAAGAAAAAAACCAAAAACCTGTAACTGAAATGCACCTTTCTACCTCTACCCCCGGTTCCATCCCTGAGTTCCCTACCACTACCTGGCCTTGCAAGTTTATGTCTTCTTTCTCATCCTTCACTAAAATGTAAGCTTTATGCAGGCAGTAGTCGTATTTACCATGGGTGCCTGGCATATATAGTAGGTACTCAATAAATCTAAGTTAACAAATGAGAAAAAAGAAAGAAACCAAAGACGAAGAAGAATGAGCCATGATTATCCTTATATATCCTCCTTGACTTGATTTTATAATCTGCACGGTACTTTCTAGAATTATGGGTATTTTCAAGTTACAACGTATAAAAGCTCCAGTGCTTGGTGGTTTTTAATTTCAGAAACAGATTTGAGTTAACTGATAGAATAAAATTAATTTCATCTTCACAGCAATCAATCAGTTTTATTGATTCCAACACCTAACAAGATGTAAATTTATAGTGTTTTGTTCAGGATAATATGTCAGTTTGGATTAAATACTGTCTCCGGTGTTGCCTGTGGTGAATTTGGTGCTTCTTCAGGCTTCTCGCAAACATCTGCTCTGATTCATGCTGGGTTCCCACTACCAAGTGTTTGTAGCTGTCACTTAGCCACGGGGCTCCTAGTCCCTCTTGGAGATCTTGCTGGATAAATCTTGCTGACACTGAAGCAATCTGGGAAAGATAAGTTTGTCTTGTAACTTAAGTGATTATTGATTGCTTTTTCACAGTGGAGAGTAATGGGTATGTAGATTTATGGAGACTTTCTTTTAAAATGATTCTTTTTTTTAGAAGCTGTGTTTTAGACATACTAACAATACCTTACATATTAAAATTGTTCTTAAAACTTTTTTACTCTTTTGAGGTTTAAAAGCTTTAATGTTTTGGTTCTTTTTAACTTTTGTTTTTTGTGTGTAGCTTAAACACCAAAACATGTACTTTCATATCCTTGAACGCACAGTGTACCAGAGTGATTAAGAGCAGGGGCTCTGCTGTCAGACTGCCAGGATTTGAGTTAAGGCAGTGTGGTCATGGACATAGCTCATGATCTCTTGGAGATTCTGTTTTCTCATCTGTAAAACAATAAAAAGTACCTATTTTGTAAGACTTGAGAATTTCATGACTTAGTGTACATAAAACCATTAGAACAGTGTCTTTATACCTAATTATCATTTAGCTAAAGATGGAATAAGAAAAGCTTGATAAATGATATATACCTCCTTAAAAATAAAGTGCTTATAAATATTTGGGTGACAGAACCATAAAAATATATTTTAAAGGCCATAGAGTCTCTCAAGGTTGAACTTCTGCTTCTAAATTTGAAAGTTGTGACTTGGCATAGTGATGTATACCCATAACCCAGAAGGCTGAGAATTCTGGATTAGAATCCTCAGAATTAGAATCCACAGACAACTTAATACCCAGGAAGAACCACTGCTAATGTATTTTTTTTTTTTTTTTTTTTTGAGACAGGGTCTTTTTAGGTAGTTCAGGCTGGTCTTGAACTCATAGTTGAACTCTTCCTGCCTCAGCCTCCCAAGTGCTGGCATTATAGGTGTGTGCCACCAAGCCTGTACCATTGTTAACATTTTAGAGGATCTCCATCTATTTTTCTATAGATTGTGTTTTCTCTGAAAAACTGTACCATTTTTAGTATAAACTACAGATAGTTTTGGAAACTGTTTTAAAACAATATTATGTATATCTTTCTATTTCATTAACTATTCTTTTATTTCTATATTTCTTCATTTACTTATTTTTTTGAGATAGAGTCTTTCTGTTGTTCATGCTGGCCTCAAATTTATGGTGATCCTCCTGCGTAGATAGTTTGCTGTACCAAATACATAAAATGTAAAAAGTAAATACTACTTTCCCTAATTAAAAATTTTAATTCTGAAAGTAATAAATGCTCATGTCATAAGAAAATGATTATAAATGGAAGTTTGTGAACTTTGACAAGGATCTGGACTATTCCTTTAAAACTTGAAATGAGCAAATATATTTTATTTTAGATACTATAAAAATTTTCACTGTATCAAGTCCAGGAGAAATCAGCAGATTGCTTTCCAGCCTTCAAAGAAATTTATATTAAATATATTATATAAGGGTATTATGATCCAGCATGCAGCTTATCAAGATGGTCTGCTTGGCTGGTCATGGTATAACACACACCTGTCATCCCCAGCATTAAGAGGGGGAGGGGACTAAGGTGGAAGAATCATCTTGAGTACACGGACAGCCTGAACTATAGTGTGCCTCAAAAGAAAGGTATGGTTATGTACATCGCTAAGAACTGAAAATATAAACCAAATGCTGCTCAAGTCTGAATCTCTTTCTGCCAAATTACTACATTTTAAATAGATAATAAAGGTACCAGGTGTGTAACTCCTGCTGCAGGAAGGCTGATACAAGAGGATGGAAAGTTTGAGGACAGCCTGGGTAACAAGACCTGAACTGAACAAAACAGTATACATGCATGTGCTTGTGGGTGTGTATTTTAAAAGTACCTGATAAGTCTCCATTTACCTTGTACGTCTCTTCAAGCAGCTCTTCAGATGATAGAAAACAGGACGTGCCTGTGTTCTTTCCAAGTGCTGTGCTGACAGATAGCGTGAGCATGCACTTACACCCTGAGCCAACAGAGGGCGCCAGCAACAACACTGTAACATCAGGCGAACCAAAGCTTGAGCATGTAATACAATCCTTACCTCATCAATCTCCAGACAGTCAGAAACTTTACCGAGATTTACTGGTAAGAAAACATAGAGCATTTTACTTTTTATGTGGTGTTTTTTTAATATAAGAAGCACTAAAGTTTTCCTAGATTTAAAATGCTTGCCAGGGAGATGGCTTAGTGGAATAAGTGCTTCCCTGGCAAGCGCAAGGGCCTGAGTTCAATCCCTGGTTCTGCCAAAAAAAAAAAAAAAAATGCTTGGGAGGCCGGGGAGATGGCTCAGTGGAATAAGCGCTTCCCTAGCAAGCGCAAGGGCCTGAGTTCAATCCCTGGTTCCGCCAAAAAAACAAACAAACAAAAAAACACACTCTGGGGCTGGTGAGATGGCTCAGTGGTCTAAAGCACCTACTTAGAACAAGCTTAGCAAAGCACAGGGACCGCGGTTCAATCCCCCAGCACCTAATGCCAGCCAGCCTCGCCCCCTGGTGGGCTGAGCTGGCCACACACACACACACACACACACACACACATAAATAAATAAATAAGTAAATAAAATTTAAAAAATGCTTGGGAACTTGAAATAAAAAGATTTTTGCTTAGTTAACAGTATGTCATTTCTTTTAACTTTTCATATATTTTAACTCAAATTCAGTAATTTACTGCAATCATGCCAGTCATCTGGTACTTAGAAAAAAACTAGCCTGTTTTTAACATAGAATTATTGGTTGATATCACCCCCCCCATACCTGGTATTGAACTCAGGATCATGTACTTACCAGGCTATCTCACCAGGCTGAATTATTATTATTATTATTATTATTATTTTATTTATTTTTTAATGAATTTAGGACAGGGTCTACAGCATCTCACTACATAGATCGGAGTCGTAGTGATTCTCCTGTTTTCAGCTTCCACGTGCTGGGATTACAAGTGTGTGCCACCACACCCAGTCTCAATTGCCATCTCAGTGCACCTCGGGGGCAGGGCCAGCACGGCATGCCGGGGATTGAACTCCAGTCGCTGTGCTTTGCCTAAGCAGGTGCCTTAGTCCGCTGAGCTATCTGGCTATCCCTTTTTTTAAATTATTGATTTTATACTAAATTCATAGTAAAATTAGTGCAGGGGGTGGGCACAAAGAATTCCGAAGAATTTGAACATTGGGGCTGCGGAAATAGTTCAGTGGTCTAAGCGCTGGCCTGACAAGCCCCAGGACTGGGTTTGATCCCTGGCACTGTATGCTGTGCTGACCCTGCCTCCGAGCTGCAGGGTGAGACCCTGTACTGAATACATTAATTTAATATAAAAAAATTAAAATTCAGGGAATGTTAGACATTCTTAACAAAAATAATAATAATTTGAACACTGGAAAGTAGTGGAATGTTTATAGTAATACTGATTTCAGGTAAGCAGATGTTAATTAGTTATTAAACTGAGTCTAAGAAAGAGGACTAAAGTGGATAATATAAATAGGAGTATGAACATCTTATATCTTTAAGAACATGGGGAAAATAGTAACAGAAGGACACCAGTAACAATTATATAAGTTGAAAAGTAGGAGTTGAAAACTAAGGGAGAACAGAATAAATAGGAGCACTTCTGATTGAAGAACCTAATATTGTGATATTTAGGTTAGGACAATACTTACAGGTTGGAATGACCTTATTTCCATCCAAATTATAAACTTGTAACACTGTTTTTGCTATTTGGTTGATCGCTAATTAAGCGTGCTTCAATGAGGTCCTGTGTATTCATCAGCTACCACACGTTATTTGCCTGCTAGGTCCTAGTCTGGTGCCAGCCCTGCACACTCTGATGTCAGGAAAGCAGACTGGGTGTCAAGTCATTCTTGTTTTCAGAAAGTGAAAAAGAAAAAAAACTAATTCCAAAAGTAACATACAGGGCTAATGTATAACTCTGAAACATATTGCCATTTTGAAGTGAAACTATGATTAAAACCTCTATTTATAAATAATTTGGCAGAAATCTTTGAGAAACCTTGGAAGATTCATCATGATTTTTAGATGTGTTCCTTTTTAAATAAATAGGTTCTGAACAAAAGATGTTTCCAGTGGGGTCTGATGAAATCATTAGGATAGGGGTGTGTGTGTGTATGTGTGTGTCTGTGTCTAAAATACTTAGAGATGTATTGGATATTTTGTGGAATTTGAGAAGATAATAAAGCTATTAGTGGTGATTTTTAAATATTTTTTTTTCATCAGGGTCAAGTGAACCACCTATTAAGTAACTCTTTGAAAGAAACTGAGCAACCATCTACCAAAGCAGTAATTATCAGCCATGAATGTACCAGAACCCAAAATGTTTACCACACAAAGAAAAAAAAACACAACCCAGGACTGGTAGAGAAAGACTGTGTTCTCAACGCAACGCTTAAGCAACTAAGAAGCCTGGGAGTAAAAATCGATTCTCCTACTAAAGTGAAGAAAAATGCACATAAAGTAGATCATGCCAGGTAGCTTTTTAAAATTTATTTTAAAAGATGAATAAGAGGCCGGGGAGTTGGCTCAGTAGAAGAAGCGCTTCTCTGGCAAGTGCAAGGGCCTGAGTTCAATCCTTGGTTCTGCAAAAAAAAAAAAAAAAAAGATGAGTAAGTTTATAT